CAGGCTTTGCCCGGGGGGGGGGGGGGGGGGGGGGTACTCGCATATATGGACTATACGGGGATGATCCGCTGAACAGGGTATGGTTTTTCGAGCTTCTTGTCAGGGTATGCAATTTCATTCAAGTTCTTCCTGAGTTTCCTGTCATATTCAGGGTTTCTACTTTCGTACTGACCAAAACTGGTTATTATGGTTGTAAAAAAACGATATGCGAGATGACATGGTAATTGAAACAGTAACTCAGTGCAATAAATTATATCTTTTGTCATAAGCAGGGTCTACAAATTTGAGTTTTTTTGTCAAAAACAGGGTAACCCTTTCAGAATCCCAGCGGAACACCCCTACCCAAATTCTGGCGAAGTACTTCCCCCCCTCCCCCCGGGATATTTACAAACTAAACTAAACTGAACAGAAAAGTTGAAAAGGTAAACAGAAAGAACTTTATAGCATCTGCGCAGATGACAGAAAACGCTGCCGCAATGTCTTATAAGGCCAAACAAAAAAAAGTGTTTTTCCTGTTGAGCGACCAATTGCAACCCTAATTATCTTGCTGATTTTTGCCGACCCTAATATTTTTTTCATTCCCAAATGCATCACAGGGTTCCCAGTAATCTCATTTCCACTGTTGTATCAGTAAAATAATCTGACCTATTGACCCCAATTTTTTTCTCATGCAACTGGAAACACAATTATTATTTTTTTGTTTGGCCTAATCAACAGAACAAGAAACAACTCCCTGTTTCTCTTGTTCCCATGTTCATTTATGGCAGAGGAACAGTGAAGGGGACTTTTTAGCTGCAGAGTACAATTAGTCCAATTTCTTGTTGTCTATGCCATTTTGTCTAAGGCTGCGTTCATAATGTATGGCAGAGGGGTGAGGGGGGAGGGGGCAGGTGAAATTTAGGAGGGATCAGAAATTTTTTTACCAGCTACTAGAGTAACCTGGGGGGGTCTTTTTTTCATTTAAAGATTTCACCTGCCCCCCCCCCCCCCCCCCCCCCCCCCCCAACACCCCCCCCCCCGCCATACATTATGATTGCAGCCTAATGTGGCATCATAGTGATACAGGGCAATTTTTTTTAACTTACCATCCCACCGAGATATTTATTTTGCTGTTTTGATTCTCTGTCAATGTCTATTGCTATCTGAAAACGAAACAAAACAAAGGTTTCAATGTCTATTGCTATCAGAAAACAAAACAAAACAAAGGTTTCAATGTCTATTGGTATCAGAAAACAAAACAAAACAAAGGTTTCAATGTCTATTGCTATCAGAAAACAAAACAAAACAAAGATTTCATTGTCTATTGCTATCTAAAAACAAAACAAAGCAAAGGTTTCAATGTCTATTGCTATCAGAAAACAAAACAAAACAAAGGTTTCAATGTCTATTGCTATCTAAAAACAAAACAAAACAAAGGTTTCAATGTCTCTTGCTATTATTAACCAAATTATTAACCAATTACAATGTTTTTGATGAATGTATATAGAACTCACAGCAACATGCTTTTTCATTTCAGACCACATTTCATACTCTTGAGAAAAAGATTCTTTGTTTGAGATTAAACAAAGAAATGATAATCTTGGGAATGACCATGTGGTCTGTAATGGAAACCATTGCGCTCCCAAGTTAAAATAGGTCTATAATGTTTCAGCTGTACACTCACCCCTTTTAGCATTGATACTTTATTTGATAGGTTATCCACCAATCTGTTGTTCTCTGATTCCATTATTTTGTCCATCTTATCATCATTTTTATTCCCTAATTAAAAAAATATTTATTTATACAGAACTGTTCTTGCCATTGTGTGATGTGTGGTTCCAGAAATCATCCACCCCCCCCCCCC